TGATTTACTGTAGAGATGAGGTCTCGCCAAGTTGCCCAGGCGGGTCTCGAACCCGCGGGCTCAGGCAATCCACTCACCTTGGCCTCCCAAAGCGCGGGATTACAGGCTGAGCCACCGAGCCCGGCCCTAGACTAGCTCTTATGTTTGCCTTTTAATTGTGAGATATAGAACGTTGACTTAAGAAGTTTGGCAATGAAAGGGAAAAAATAGTTCCTAGAGAGATAGGGGCGTTTTTTTGTCCTGTTTTTTGTTTTTAACATGGAAGACTTGAGCATGTGTTTATGCTGACAGAGAGAATGTATTCCAGCATTTTCTCATGGCAGCAGAATTATGGTAAATTTTCAGGCCAATCCCAAGCATGTTTACTTCTGTGCCAGTATCAAATGTATAATATGTAATACAAATATATTGCAGGTAAACATCTTGTTCTCATAAATTACATAGTGCTGTACATAGCACTGTGTTCACTAGAGTCTTAGCATTGTATATTAAGAAAATTGTGTACTGATAGGTCCATTTAAGGTCCTCTGTGCCTCTATCTGAAGTTTTATGGATAAAAATGTTAACATTTTTCAAATATCTTCTATAAAAACATTCTAAAAATATGCATTTCTATGGGTATAGGAAAAAGACAAATAAAAAGCTATCAAACGTTTTAATCTGTTTTATGTAGGTCTTGGGATTATACAGTGTTTTCTTCTTTGTGCTTTTCTGTGTTTTTCTAATTTTTTTACACAGAACATGTGTTACTTTTATCAGAAAAAGTGTTTTTTAGTTTTCAAAACAATTGCTTTTCACCCTATTCTAAATTTTTAGGCATTAACACAGTGGGGAAACAATACTTAAAACAAGTCAGGAAACTTCCAATGGTTTTCTTACCAAGTTATAAGTCATGCAATAACAAAATAATCCATGCCATCTTCTTCACTGGGTTGTTTTGAGGTCAGCTAATAGTACAGTAAAAGGTCTTGTGATTTATAAAGTACAAAATTGTGACTAGCCGATAGACAGGTTAATAATTCATAGACCAGTTTTCCTGGTGGAGAAAGAATACAATTTAAAGTTGCTATCAAATTGGGGCCGGCACAGTGGCTCATGCCTGCAACTCCAACACTTTGGGAAGCGGCAATGGGAGGACCAGCCTGGACAACATAATGAGACCTCATCTCTACAGAGCATCAAAAAATTAGACTGTGAGTGATGGCTCACACTTGTAATCCCAGCACTTTGGGATGCAGAGGTGAGAGGACTGCCTGGTCCGATGGTTGCCTGAGCAGCTTGGCAAAACCTCATCAGATAGATAGATAGATAGATAGATAGATAGATTAGATAGACAGACAGACAGATAAATTTAGCCAGGCATGCACACACCTGTAGTTCCAGCTAATTGGAAGACTGAGGCAGGATCGCCTGAACCCAACAGGTCAAGGCTGCAGTAGCCATGAGCGTGCCACTGCATTCCAGCCTGGGCATCAGAGTGAGACTCTGACTGAAAAAGAAAAAAAATTAGCTGGGCTTGATGGCACGTGCCTGTATTCCCAGCTACTCAGGCGGTGGAGTTGGAAGGATCGCCTGAACCCAGGAAGTCAAGGCTGCAGTGAGCTGTGATAATGCCACTGCACTCCAGCATGGATGACAGGGACTCCAACTCAAAAATAAAATAAAATGAAATAGCTGGGCATGGTGGCTCTTGCCTGAAATTCCAGTGCTTTGGGAGGCCAAGGTGGGAGAATTCACTGAGCCCAGGAGTTCGAGACCAGCCTAGGTTACAAAAAAAAAGTGTGATAATTTACACATATAAGAATACATTTTGCTGGGCTCGATGGCTCAGCCTCTAATCCCGCGCCTTTGGGAGGCTGAGGTGAGTGAATTGCCTGAGCCCGCAGGTTCGAGACCCGCCTGGGCAGCGAGACCTCATCTTTACAATAAATCAAAAATCAGCCTGGTGTGGTA